CATCTTATCCTTGTTTATTTAAATGCGTCATGTTTTATTCACTTAGATATATGTTTTAGAGGATTCCTTAAAAGTGATAGCAGGCATCCTCTTTTCTCTAGTGACGTGGAGCAACAGCATGTTATTCTGAGTCCACTTATCTTTTGGTGTCTCTTTCGAAATGGTTATCGCGTCGTGTTGTTTTGAAATCGATGTGCAAGCATGCCACCTGTTCTGGGGTACATCTTCCTTCTTTGCTTCGTCGTCTTACGGAGAGAGAGAGAGAGAGAGAGAGAGAGAGAGAGAGAGAGAGAGAGAGAGAGAGAGAGAGAGAGAGAGAGAGAGAGAGAGAGAGAGAGAGAGAGTTCAATTCAAATTCAAATTCAGAATAATTTATTCCACTAAATACAATGGTTATTCTTTTTACAGAGAAAGGAATTTCACAGTACATGTAAAATATAAGATACCTTTGAATGTATTAGAGTTTCTGATATTTCTGATATTATTTGGTAATTTGTTCCAAATCATGGGTCCACGTGTAAGTGTCTGCCGTGCCCCTATATATGTGCGTGATCTTGATGTGTAGAGAGTTTATCTGTCTTGTTTGGACACAGGTTGTGTTTCCTACGGTTGGAAGGGTGAGTAGCCATTTTGGATAAAACCCTTGAATAAGTGTCATAGTTACATTTGTTTTAGCCAGATGTTAGAGCAATAATTAATTATACTGAGAACTAATGTATATATTACAAGATCAGCCGGGATCTTGTCTTTAATGTGGCTTAGGTAAATTAGTGTGCCTATTACTTTCCTATGGATGTTGTCGACATGGTTCTCAAATGTCATGAATCTGTCAATGAGTACGCCTAGCTGTCTTTTATTAGTGTCAATGTCTCCTGGGTCTTTTTTATTTGTTCATCTAAGTTTACTGAATCACTGTGGATAAATTGGGAATCATCGGCGTATTGAACAAGAAAGCATTTTTGGGCTATGGGTGTTAAGTCATTTACGAATATTATAAATAAAATTGGGCCTAATATAGAACCTTGTGGAACACCGAAAGATACTATCTGTTTTGTTGATATTTCCTCGTGAATTTTGACTGATTGGCTTCTGTTACTTAGATAACTTCTGAACCAGTATGTATCGATGTTGTGATATATTAATTTACGAAAGAGGATTTCGTGGTTGACACTGTCAAAAGCCTTGGATAAATCGCACAATGTTAGCAAGTTTATTTGATTGTTGCCTATGTTCTCATAAATTTTATTTAGACTTCGTCTGTGTCTCCGGATTTGAAAACTGGTGTTATTATGCCATGATATCACCAGTGAATAGAGATGTATTAATAATTACCGTTAGATAGTAGGCTATTGCAGGTAGACTGCAAGTCTCTAAAAAGCGAAAAGCAATGCCATCTGCTCCCACAACATTAGTTTGATGCAGGTGTTTTTATTGTTAAGATTATTGTTTCTATTTTTCCAGGTTGTGGTCTGAAAGTATTTGCTAGTGGCTTCATCCTACCTGCCTTTTGCTGAGATCTGGAAGCGTTTGTTTGTTTATATGTGAGATGTCCAATTTTAGCGAAAAAATCGTTAAATTCATTTGCACTAATACTGGTGTTTAGATTATCTCTATGATGTTTTTAGTTTGGTACAAGTGTTTTGACTATTTTTCATGTTTTAGCAGAGTCTTTTTTTACAAGTTGTTAATTTATTTCTAAGATAATCAGTTTTGGCTCGTTGTATAAGTGATTTGACATTTGACTCTTTTTTGTTTGTAGTTTATCTGGAGTCCCATGTTGTGTCTGTCATTCTTGAGAGCTTTTTGAACGCCATTTCTATCTGTTATTGCTCTCTCAATGTCGTTGTTTATCCATGGAGCAGGAGGACGTCTAACAGTTTTTGTATCAAATGGATTGATGGCATCTATGCTGTCATTAATCACTTCCGTAAAGACATTTACCTGTTTGTCTATATTATCTGTATGCAAAATTTCTAAAAGAGTTGCTTCCTTGGCAATTATCTGTTGGTATAAGGACTGAGGGTCGTAGTTGGTTAATTCTCGGAAACTTTTTATGGCTGGTGGTCGTTTTGATTTCTTTAAATTAAGCGTCACCGTTATGAGTTCGTGATGAGAGAGAGAGAGAAAGAGGGTGTGGAAGAGAAACAGATGGACAGATGAAGAGAGAGATAAAGAGAGAGGTGGAGGAAGAAAGGGAAAAGGAGGGAAGGAGGGGAGAGATAGATATATTGAGAATGAGAGAGATAAAGAGAGAGGTGGAGGAAGAAAGGGAAAAGGAGGGAAGGAGGGGAGAGATAGATATATTGAGAATGAGAGAGATAAAGAGAGAGGTGGAGGAAGAAAGGGAAAAGGAGGGAAGGAGGGGAGAGATAGATATATTGAGAATGAGAGAGATTGAGGGAGGGAGGCAGAGGTGCTGGAAGGAGGGGGAAGGAAAGGTAGGAGAGTGACATATAGAAAGAGAGAGACAGAGAGAAAGAGATTTAGGAAGGGAGGAAAGGAGAGACAGAGAGAAAGAGATTTAGGAAGGGAGGAAAAGAGAAACAGAGAGAGGGAGTAGTTAACAGTAGATTATTTGTCTTATTACATCTTATATCTAGAAACCTAACATCACTGATAATTTAAATGTTCCTTTAATTTTATTTTAAATGCATTCAGAATATGAATGCTTTTGATATGCGTTAGTTGGTCCGGGTTATAGGATCACGTGTTTTGCTTTGTGTTGTCTATGGATGGAAGCGGTAGGAGCCACTTTAAATAACAACCTTGAATAATTATATGGGTTAATGTCTCAGGTAAATTAGCGTACCCATTACTTTTCCATAAACTGTTGACGTGGCTCTCACATGTCACATAATTGTTTAAGTGTACTTCTAGTTTTAGCAATATTTTGACGACTACCTATAAATATACATTGTGGTTTATTCGGATTTATATCGGGACCATTGATGTCGAAAAAACTTTTGCTTGTGTTTCTTATCTATTTCTTATCACAGAACTTCAGTTGTTTGCATAATCAAAGTGGAAAGGTTGGGAATAATCGGCGTACTAAAGACGAGGGGCATTGTAGACTATATTCGACAGATCGTTTAAGAATATTGCGGAAAATAATAGGTTTGATATAGATCCTTGTGGAACAGCGAAATATACAGATTGTTTTGCTGATATATTCCCGTGACTTTTGACTGATTTGGATCTATTAGTTAAATAACTTCTTGATCCAATATGTCTGCTAATGCGGATTGCGTTGAGACTATCGAAACTTTATTTAGTTATCTACATTATCATACATTCTATTTGTGGTTTTTGGTTACTTCTAACACCGCAATGTGTTTTAGATAGCAGGTCACTGGTCTCTAGAAATGTTAATTGGTCTGCTACAAATTTCTCGTGGACTTTAAACAGTATAGGGAGTACAGTAGATTTTTGTGTGTGAAGCGGCCTCCTTTTCGCGGTCACGTGGGATATGATTTTAGACAAAGATACGCTTCCTGCACTGAATGAAGAGACTTCAATTCCTCTCACATGGAATAGGATTTTAGGCGTAAAGTTTAAGTTTATCGTGCAAACAGACTGATGAAATCCAATCAGAATCATTATTATAATTATCATTATCATTAAAGAATAATATAAGGAAACTGGAATGCGGTAACATCCCTAAGATCAATGATGAAAAGTCATGTCATATTACTATACAAATTACTAAACATATCACTATACAGGTCCAGTGAATGTAGTTTCTTTTAGCATTCACATTTCTAAGGGGGGAAATAAATGTCAAAGAAAATGTAACTTAAACTCTTAAACTCCAGGAGTGGTATCCACGATATGTGTTACATTCTATATACCACATTATATTATTCTAATGATTTACCAATGTTCTTTGTTCTCTTTCCAGTACCTATTATCAAAAGTTTTCAAGTAGTGTTAGATACATTACACACCGGCTAACTACATTCAAGATATAGTATTTAACTGGATTGAGACAGAGAAACATACCCTATAATGTATTCTTAGAAAAGCATTTGTTCATCTGTTCCCCTTTATTATCATACATTGTTTTTAAGTGGAAAAAACACGATTCTAATTGGAGTTTGTGCAAAAAAAGGAAAATAAATATAAGTATAAATATATAATGAAAGTCTTGTCGAAGGATGAACAAAGGGTTTATTGCACTAGTGAAATCATGCAATACTGACAACGGTGGTCCTCTCTGGGTACAATTCGGAATCGTTCTTACGTGCATATAGGCCTAGGGCAGCAACCAGGGAAGTTCAAAGTTTCATCTTCCACCCATTTACAGTTCCCAACAGCACCCATCGGAGCACAACTGTGGAACGAGAGAGATTTTATTCAAGTAGACACACTAGGTTTCTTTTAAGCCAAGGGTTTGGCTCAACTTATTGGCTGGAAGATTTTCGAGTTTCTACAGAAGAGCGTTTATTTTTGTGCCTTCTGGAACAAGGTTATAACTGTGCACATTATTATTGTTTAGTTCCATGCATTCTATCTCATATTTCATTCACCCTGGAGACGTTATTTACTTCACTTCTATTAATACTTACATGTGATGAGTGATAATCATATTGTTCCCTTCGCGTGTGCAGTATTTCCTTTGACATCTTTCCAAATACCAGGTGGAGCCTTCAGGGTAAACGCCTGTTTCGTCGCGACACAGAAAAGGCGATCCTTCTGGAAAGGACGAATGTCATTGTCTTATTTTCCCCTCTGCTACTGAGAAGTGCCATGAGCCATTATTATTTTGAGGCTGAAACTACCCAGGGTATTCTCCGCTTCAGTGCGTGGAACATGGATGCTATTGCCATCTCAGAAACAAAACTTCCTGTACCTTGACATAGAGCTCATAGGTAAGTTCTTGAATTACCAATGTCTCATTGACGAAAATCTTTACCCCTCATTGAGCCACACCCCCTTACAGACTCCTGTGATGTTCCCTCACTGGTACTCTAATTAAGGACATGCATTTCAAGAAAGAGTGCGCAAATTTCAAACTGAGCAAGCACGACTGATGGCGAGTCAGAAGCCTTATACCGTGCTATTAAAAAGTACCATACAGCAATAATCGATTAAACATGCATTCCGCCATTACAGGGACATCAGATCCGGACAAATGCTGTGAAGTTTGCGATGGACTGTCTTGGAGGCAGCAGCTTACACTGATCAGGCTGCCCTTATACCATACATTATGAACAGAATGCTGTTTTGAAGGTAAAGGCTGTTTCACATCACTGCTAATTGTGTCCCATTCAATATTTTAATGCTGAGAAACTGCATCTAAACGAGCAAACAATACTCGCTAGAGAATGTAATTGGTTGATTATATTCTATATTGTATATGTTATTAACACTGACCTTGCCTTTTCTACGATCAGTTATGAAAAAGTCTTTTACCGATCAAAGAAGGCATCTAAAAAATATAACTCTATGGCACAACTCTTCAAGTACGTACAGTTAACATTCGACTGACAGCTCTCTACATGAAAAGAAACATACCCTAACATTTGTGGGCATGTATAATTTTTCAAGAACTCAGAGAAAAATAATTTTAAATCAATCAATCGCCACTGAAGAAACGAGAGAGTCTCTTACCTGGAATCGGGATGACCACTCGACCCACACCAGCTTGGGTCACAGTGGCCATCGTTACTATAAGCAGCAGCAGTATAACTCTGGCCATCGTAACAGTGTCCCTGCCCACGCTGAAAAAGTCGACGCTCTGAGACACTGAATACTACATGGCAGGATTGTAATATATATACTCGGTGTTTATCACTCTATTGCGCCACAATACGAGTTGACGCTTCTCTATCCCATTCGGTGGGAGAATGGGATAGAGAGAGAAAGAGGGAGGGATAGAGAGAGACAAAGATAATGACATGGTAACAATGACGAAGATAATAATAATGACAACATTACATATATATATGTATATATATGTATATCGTTAGGCTTATTCAGCTTTATTTTGAAGGACTTATTCTTCAGCTGCTATTAATGATTCATAACTTCAGTTTGTTTTATTATGATGTTTTTTTTTATCATTTGATTAACCTTAGTTTATTTGCATTAATTTAATCCTTCCAGTTAATATTATTTTCTTTTGTTGACGTTCCTGAAGTCTATATCCATACATACATACATGCATATATATATACAAATATATTCATACACATACTTTATATATGTATATATATTATATATGTATATGCATACATATATATGTATGTATATGCATATGTAGATAGGTAGATAGATATGGATATAGGTATATATATGTACACATATATATAGATATATATACGCGCGCGCGCACGCACACACACACATGTGTGTATATATCCATATATATGTATATATACATGTATATGTATATATGTATATATATACATATATATTGGTATATACTGTATGTATTCGTATATATACACATACATATATGTGTATATATACATATATGTACATATAAATATATATGTATACATATATAAATATGTATATACATATATGTATATACATATATGTATATATACACATATATGTATAAATGAATATATGTATTATTATTAGCATTATCATTATCGTTATTTTTATTATTATTATAATTATTAATACTTAATTATGCTCATAGTCACCATTATAATAATCTAATCATTAGTATCATTAATCTTAATAATAATTATCAGTATAATTATTACCATTATCATTAGCCATTTTTATCTTATTAACATTATTGTTATTATCATAATTGTTGTCATTATTATCATTATCCCCATTGTCCTTTACATTATTAACTTTACTCTTCAAGCTTTTCTTGCTATCATTGATATTGTCATTCTTCTTGAGAGACGGAGAAGAAATGGAGTATGTGTTTATGTACGTATCTTTATCCTTATTTATTTAAATGCGCTCATGTTGTATCCACCTTTTATTTACGTTTTAGAGGATTTCATTTAAAGGCGATAGCAGGCATCCTCTCTTCTCTAGTGACGTGGAGCAACAGCATGTTATTCTGAGTCCACTTTATCTTTTAGTGTCTCTTTCGAAATGGTTATCGCGTCGTGTTGTTTTGAAATCGATGTGCAAGCATGCCACCTGTTCTGGGGCACATTTTCCTTCTTTGCTTCGTCGTCTTACGGAGAGAGAGGGAGAGAGAGAGAGAGAGAGAGAGAGAGAGAGAGAGAGAGAGAGAGTGAGAGAGAGAGAGTGAGAGAGAGAGAGAGAGAGAGAGAGAGAGAGAGAGAGAGAGAGAGAGAGAGAGAGAGAGAGAGAGAGAGAGAGAGAGAGAGAGAGAGAGAGAATGAGGAAGAGGGAGAAGGAGGGAGAGAGATAGAGAGAGGGAGTGATTGAGGAAGGGAGAGGAGTGAGAAAGTAAGAGATGTTAAGGAGAGAGAGGAGGGGGAGAGGGAGGGAGGCAAGGGGAGACAGTAATAAATGGTAGTTTATTTAAGTCTTGCTTCATCCAATATTCATAAACCTGTTATTGATAATTTAGATGTTCCTTTAATCTTATTTTAAATGTATTTAAAGTATGAATGTTTCTCCTACTACGTGTTAGCTGGTTCTAGATTATGGGTCCACGTGTTTGTATTGTCATCCCCTTATTTCTGTACGGGATTCTTTGGCACAAGTTGTGTTGTCAGTGGTTAGAAGATGTAGGATAACAACCTTGAATAATTATATGGATTAGTTTGCAAGTATCGTAATTGCATTTGTACTGGATTTTTAACTATTTTGTTTTTTGTGTGTGCTGCAATGTAGCCATGCTTCCTAACACTGCCAAAGGCTTCTTTCGCTGCGAGGTTTTATATTTTTTTGAGTTTCCTGAATTAGAACTTTATTAATTGAATCTGATAGGTTCGGCCTCAGTTGGGATTTCATCTTATTTCATCTAGAATAGATAAATTACTGTGCCCATTTCTTTTCCATAAATATTGTCGACATGGGTCTGAAATGTTACATAATTATCTAAATGTACTTCTATTTCTTTTGGAATCTTAGCAGTGTGTTACCGATTACCTGTGGAGATACAATATGGTTTATTCGGATTTATCTCGGGGCCATTGATGTCGAAATAACTTTTTGCTTGTGCCAGCGTCTTATCAATTTCTTGTTGAAACATACAAACTGTTTTCCTGATAAAGTCCCGTGACTCTGGACTGAATTGGTTCTATTGGTTAAATAACTTCTGAACCAATATGCATTGGTTTCATGATTTATTAATTTACTAATAAGGATTTCGTGGTTGACGTTATCGAAAGTCTTCGACAGACTGCGCAGTGTAAACAAATTTATTTAAGCTTGTGTCTACATTATCATAAATTTTATTTGTTATCTGTCTTAATACTGTTTCAGTAGACAGCGTACTTATCAAATCATTATGTATTTTGGACAGTAATTCACTGGTCTCTAGAAATGTCAATCGGTCTGCTATCATTTTCTCCATAACTTTCGACAGCAGGGCAGTGCCTCTTAACCATTGCACCACCACGCCCCCCTTACGAATTAGCCCTTCCTTCCACGCCCCCCTTGGATCTATTAATAAAATTCCCTTCCAGAATGTATGAATTAGTCACATTATGATCAAACTTGTCATTATTTAACCACATTCTTTTTAAGAGAATAATAAATATGATGAGGGAAATTCCAGCGTTTCCCAAATGGCTCGCGCCCCTCTTGAACTATCTAACGCCCCCAGGCTAAGAATCACGGGTGGAGGAAGCATGGCAGATGTGTGTCAATCTTAAAAAGAATTCCGTTGTCACTTACAAAGAGAATAAAGCGATTTCAATTCCTCAGTCTTCTGGAATATAATCTTAGACATAAGGCACTCATCTTACACTAGAATGAAGAGACATCAAGTGCGCAATCTCATGGAATTTCAAGCGATAAGTTCAAGTGTATCGCGCGAATGGATGGAAGGGTGAAATCCAACCCGAATCATTATCACTATCACTATTATGATCAAAGAATAATGTGTGGAAACAAGAATTAGATCAATGACGATATGTCATGTTATGTTGCCAAGATGACAGAAAATTCACAGTACAAAAAAAGTCGAAATCCGGCTGTATCTTCCGGTCCAGTGTATATATTTTTCTTTGAGCATTTAAGGGGAAAAAAGCAAAAACAAAGAAAATGTAGCTTTAAATTCTTAAATTCCAGAAGAGGTATCCACGGTATTTTACATTTTCTATATCCTTTACATTATTTTAATGATTTACAAATGTTATCTCTCCAATCTCTGTTTTCATACGCATTCAAATGGTATTAAGTGCACTACAAACCGGCTAACTGTATTCGTAATACTGTACTTAACTGGCTTGATACAGATAAATAAATCTGGTAATACATTCTCAGAAATTCATTTGTTCATCTGTTCCCCTGGATTATCATGCATTGATTAAAAATGTGTGGGGGGAAAAAAACACAATTGTGCAACTGAAGACTTTCATTGTACAAGTGAAATTATGCAATACTAACAACTGGCAGTCGTCTTTGGGTATAATTGGGAATCTTTCTCAGGGGCATTTCGACTTGGGGCAGCAATCGGGGTAATTCAGACTGAGATCTTGCACCATTTCACAGCCGTCGGGAGCAGCGACCTTACCGCAGCTGTGGAGAGAGGGCGAGGCTTTACTCATTACATATTAGGTTTTTTTCGAAGCCGAGGGTTTGGCTTGACTTAATGGCTGGAAAAAAAATCGATTGTCTACAGAAGAGCGATTGTTATAACATGGCACTGTTTTATGGGATAAGGTAAGAATTGTGTAATTATTTTTTTACCTCGTGCATTAAACCTGTCATTCACATATTCGTTAAATGCAATATAGCCATCTATCCCTTCACTCTGGAGACACCAGATGAAAAAATAGGGATAAGTTTTGCATAGACCCTCTTAATTTTATGAGTGTCACACCTTCTTTTAATACTTACCCGACGTAATTGATAACCATCACGTCCCCATCACGTCCCCGGGAGC